AAATATGACAGTTCAGAGGGCTTTTATTCTGAAATGCTACATCAGATTGACCTGATATTTTCTGGGTGACACCCTGAGGTCGAGTACTGTCAGTCTGAAGTGGAACGGTTGAGTAATAACGGGTAGTTTTTTAAAAATATTATTCTCAATGTACAAGGAGTACAGTAAAATATGACAGTTCAGAGGGCTTTTATTCTGAAATGCTACATCAGATTGACCTGATATTTTCTGGGTGACACCCTGAGGTCGAGTACTGTCAGTCTGAAGTGGAACGGTTGAGTAATAACGGGTAGTTTTTTAAAAATATTATTCTCAATGTACAAGGAGTACAGTAAAATATGACAGTTCAGAGGGCTTTTATTCTGAAATGCTACATCAGATTGACCTGATATTTTCTGGGTGACACCCTGAGGTCGAGTACTGTCAGTCTGAAGTGGAACGGTTGAGTAATAACGGGTAGTTTTTTAAAAATATTATTCTCAATGTACAAGGAGTACAGTAAAATATGACAGTTCAGAGGGCTTTTATTCTGAAATGCTACATCAGATTGACCTGATATTTTCTGGGTGACACCCTGAGGTCGAGTACTGTCAGTCTGAAGTGGAACGGTTGAGTAATAACGGGTAGTTTTTTAAAAATATTATTCTCAATGTACAAGGAGTACAGTAAAATATGACAGTTCAGAGGGCTTTTATTCTGAAATGCTACATCAGATTGACCTGATATTTTCTGGGTGACACCCTGAGGTCGAGTACTGTCAGTCTGAAGTGGAACGGTTGAGTAATAACGGGTAGTTTTTTAAAAATATTATTCTCAATGTACAAGGAGTACAGTAAAATATGACAGTTCAGAGGGCTTTTATTCTGAAATGCTACATCAGATTGACCTGATATTTTCTGGGTGACACCCTGAGGTCGAGTACTATCAGTCTGAAGTGGAACGGTTGAGTAATAACGGGTAGTTTTTTTAAAAAGTTAATCTTAATGTACAAGGAGCACAGTGAAATATGAAAGTTCAGAGGGCTTTTATTCTGAAATGCTACATTACATTGACCCTATATTTTCTGGGTGACACCCTGAGGTTGAGTACTATCAGTCTGGCATGGAACGGTTGAGTAATAACAGGTAGTTTTTGTTTTTTTTTTTATGTTAATCTTAATGTACATGGAGCACACTGAAATATGAAAGTTCAGAGGGCTTTTATTCTGAAATGCTACATCACATTGACCCTATATTTTCTGGGTGACACCCTGAGGTTGAGTACTATCAGTCTGGCATGGAACGGTTGAGTAATAACAGGTAGTTTTTTTTTTATGTTAATCTTAATGTACAAGGAGCACACTGAAATATGAAAGTTCAGAGGGCTTTTATTCTGAAATGCTACATCAGACTGACCTTATATTTTCTGGGTGACACCTTGAGGTTGTGTACTATCAGTCTTAAATGGAACGGTTGAGTAATAACAGGTAGTTTTTTTATATGTTAATCTTACTGTAGATGGAGCACAGTGAAATACGACAGTTCAGAGGGCTTTTATTCTGAAATGCTACTTCAGATTGACCCTATATTTTCTGGGTGACACCCTGAGGTTGAGTACTGTCAGTCTGGCATGGAATGGTTGAGTAATAACAGGTAGTTTTTTTATATGTTAATCTTAATGTACATTGAGCACAGTGAAATATGAAAGTTCAGAGGGCTTTTATTCTGAAATGCTACATCAGATTGACCCTATATATTCTGGGTGACACCCTGAGGTCGTGTACTATCAGTCTTAAGTGGAACGGTTGAGTAATAACAGGTATTTTTTAAAAAAAAAAAAAAATATTAATCTTACTGTGGATGGAACACAGTGAAATACGACAGCTCAGAGGGCTTTTATTCTGAAATGCTACTTCAGATTGACCCTATGAGTAATAACAGGTAGTTTTTTTATATGTTAATCTTAATGTAGATGGAGCACAGTGAAATATGAAAGTTCAGAGGGCTTTTATTCTGAAATGCTACATCAGATTGACCCTATATTTTCTGAGTGACACCCTGGGGTCGTGTACTATCAGTCTTAAATGGAATGGTTGAGTAATAATGGGTAGTATTTTTTAAATGTTAATCTTAATCTACAAGGAGTACAGTAAAATATGAAAGTTCAGAGGGCTTTTCATCTAAAATGCTACATCAGATTAACCTGATTTTTTCTGGGTGACACCCTGAGGACAAGTACTATCAGTCTGAAGTTGAACCGTTGAGAAAAAGCAGGTAGTTAAAAAAAAATGTTATTCTTAATGTACAAGGAGTACAGTAAAATATGACAGTTCAGAGGGCTTTTATTCTGAAATTCTACATCAGATTGACCCTATATTTTCTGGGTGACACCCTGAGGTCATGTACTATCAGTCTTACGTGGAACGGTTGAGTATTAACGGGTAGCTTTTTTTAAAAAAATATACTAATCTTACTGTAGATGGAGCACAGTAAAATATGAAAGTTCAGAGGGCTCTTATTCTGAAATGCTACATCAGATTGACCTGATTCTTTCTGGGTGACACCCTGAGGTCGAGTACTATCAGTCTGAAGTGGAACGGTTGAGTAATAACAGCTAGTTGTTTTTAAATGTTATTCTTAATGTTCAAGGAGTACAGTGAAATATGAGAGTTCAGAGGGCTTTTATTCTGAAATTCTATATCAGATTGACTTGATATTTTCTGGGTGACACCCTGAGGTTGAGTACTACCAGTCTGAAGTGGAACGGTTGAGTAATAACGGGTATTTTAAAAAAAATATGTATATTAATCTTACTGTAGATGGAGCACGGTGAAATATGACAGTTCAGAGGGCTTTTATTCTGAAATGCTACTTCAGATTGACCCTATATTTTCTGGGTGACACCGAGGTCGAGTACTATCAGTCTGGCATGGAACGGTTGAGAAATAACAGGTAGTTTTCTTTTTAATGTTAATCTTAATGTACAAGGAGCACACTGAAATATGAAAGTTCAGAGGGCTTTTATTCTGAAATGCTACATCAGATTGACTCTATATTTTCTGGGTGACACCCTGAGGTCGTGTACTATCAGTCTGACATGGAACGGTTGAGTAAAAACAGGTAGTTTTTTTTTTTTTTTTTAAAAAATGTTATTCTTAATGTACAAGGAGTATAGTAAAATATGACAGTTCAGAGAGCTTTTATTCTGAAATGCTACATCAGATTGACCTGATTTTTTCTGGGTGACACCTGAGGTCTTGTACTATCAGTCTGAAGTGGAACGATTGAGTAATAGAGGGCTTTTATTTTGAAATGCTACATCAGATTGACATGATGTTTTCTTGGTGACACCCTGAGGTCGTTTTGGAAGCTTGCTTTTACTACACTCTGAGGTCGTTTTGGAAGCTTGCTTTTACTTTGAAATCAGTCCTTTCTCGCTCTTGCCGTAATGTGTAGTATATACGCGCACCGCAAAAACGTGAGGGCTGGCTTGACCAAATGTTTCAAAGTGAGGGCTGGCTTCGCTTGCAAAGCTAATGCTACTAACGTCAGGTCAGTCCAAGTAATTAGTGGAAACATGCTAACGTTACACACAAGTTAGTAGTAAAGTAAGACCTGTTCATAATGTTCTGGTGTAGCTCTGAATTTCTTATAAACTGAGGACAACTGCCTGCTGTATATTCGTGTTCATGGTCACAGTCACAGAATTTTGTGGTGTTTGTTGTACTAGACAAAAGCGGTTCACATCAGCATTTAGGTTGCTTATAACTTCCATGTTGTCATATATTGAAGTGAAACAACGTCTAACAAGTTGCGGTATATTCTCTAAATAAAAACAAAAATTACATACCTGTCGATTAGGAAAAGGGCCAACTCGGGAGAAGTTTTACAACCTTTCAATTCTCTCAGCTCTCTCCACTTGGTGAATGCCCGACCGAGGTTTACACGAGCCCTATCACTGTCCCGTTTAGCCTTCTTCTGTGCTTTTTCTTTTAGATGGTGCTCTTCGTTATTCGCCATGACATCAAAAGTACATCTCAGATATAGATACATGTCTGGTAAAACTGTTGTGTTCAGCAATGCCCGTTGCGTACTGCTTCCGCCTCAGGTTTTCTGACTTCTGCTGTCCGTCTGACCCGCACGAGGCTATGCTAAATAGCCATATAGAGAAAGGCTTTTTTGTCGCTGTTGGGTTCAAACAAATATGCGGATCTTTAAGGGGGGGGGGGGGGGGGGGATAAAGGTAAAAAGTTCCGCACAGCTGCTTTAATCGTCTCACACATTTGTGTGAAGTTTTGTCACATTAGCTTAAGAATTCTTGAGTTATGGCCAAAAACATGTTTTGTAAGGTCACTGACCTTCGACCTTCGACATTCGACCATTAAAATTTAATTAGTTAATTGCTGAGTCCAAGGAGCCATTTGAGCCATTTGAAGAAATTCTCTTAAGGCATTCTTGAGATATTGCGTTAAAAAGAATGGGAGGTACATACATATGTATGTACAGAGGGACGGACGGAAAACCCAAAGGCAAAATGCCATAGGCCGTGGCTATCACCGGCATGGAGGCATAAAAACATGAGTTGCAGCCCTGTTTAGGATATGTACATATGTTTTGCCATCTTTATGGCTCCCTCACTGTGTGTGTTCCTGCATATGTTGATGACTCACAGCTGCTAAAAGATTTCAAGCCAAGTGGACGTACTGTGGGGTTATTGCACAGTGGAGCTGGTTGGGTAAAAGAACAAATACTGGCAGTAATTACAGTGTAAAATTTATATCCATACTTTACATCACATAAAAAATGAAATAACAGATGTCATGCTAAATTAGGTCAAGGTGGCACAGTAGCCTAATTTGACAATACTCCGTAATGAACTTCTGTCTACAGGGACTGCACAAGACCACAGAGACTCTGAGTTAACTGAACACTGAAACACAAAATGCAGCAACTACACCTGAACCATGCACTGCATAAATGCCAACACAGACTATTGAAGAAAGTGTACAGCAAATGTCTTACCTGGGTTCATCCCATCCTATTTGGCCCATGATGCCTTCCATCCACATCAGGTTTTCACGCACCACCGAGAAGAACTGCACCTTGTCCGTTACTGAGGTGACCTGGACGCGACTGGCCTCACAAGCGCTCAGCAGCCCCCTCCAGGCCTCCATCACTTCCTGCTCTTTGACCATGATGGCCTCAGCCTTCTCACCAGCATAGATGGTCCTCAGCTGGGCAGCATTCTCCTGCAGCTGCCTCACCTGTACCAAGACAGGAGGAAGACAGTTAGTGGCTTCATCACAGTAGAACATAGTGTAGAAGAACGGCTGTATTTGTAGATAATAAATTGAACTGATTTAATAAAGGCTTTTGACTGTTGGTAGAACAAAACAAGCACTTATTTAAATATAGATTCTAAGGGCTGGGTTAATCCACTGATGTGACCAGTGATACAGAATAAGGAAAAATAAGTTTGGTGAACTGTATATGCCCTGTGCTCATGAGCAGCTAGTCCACTGTTTAACTGATGGGTTCAGAAAGAAATCATAACACTTGCCTGTGCAACTAGCAGTTGAAGGGCATGTTCAAAAGAATGCATAAGTCTCTGCAGGGTGGCTGGATTGGTGATGTTGGCTTGGCATGCCCTCACCTCTGGCAGCTGCTTCATCTTCCCTGCAATCTGAGCCAAGACCTACAACACAGGACAACGTCGGTATCACGAGCACTTTAAAAATAGAAGCTGCATGTCATGGCCAGACTGTCTACTCTAGAAATAAAGAACGCAGCACACCTAAATAACAGCTTGATATTTGTTTTGTACTGTACCTCTTTGCAGTCAGTGAAGAACTTGTGCAGCTGGTGCGAAGCTGCCAGCATCTGTCTGCGGGTCTCCATCAGCTCCAGGAGGTCGGCCCACGACTCGTTCAGTCCATCCTTCCACTCTGCGATCGTGGCTGCGTCTGAGTGGCCGCAGTCAATCATCTCATTCACCATTTTATTCACCTGCTCCATGCGCTGTTGGCCAATGCTGTTGGTTTCTGAGGCAAACTTGGTGAATCTCTCCTGAAGTACCTGGAACACACAGAAAGAATGCAATGCTACAGAAAGTGGACACAAGAAAATAAATATATTGAGTCTGATGCAATGCATTCATTGATGAAATAAATTCTACCTTTGTGAGGCTCATATTGACTATTTTTGAGACAGTGGGTGCTTTCCATTCTGCCCATCCTCACTCTTCTGTCATTTAACCCAGAAATGATCCGAGGCCCGCCATCATTAGGCAGTTTTCAGGCACTTAAATGCGTCTTGGTGGAGACAAGGAGCTTAGATTGAGGAACCACAGGTGTGGTTTTTTATTGTTCAATGAATCTGATAGAATCGGTTGAGTGACTGGTCAGCTGATCAACCTGAGCCTCAAATAAACTGGAGATTTTATTTAGAACTTTTATAGATTTTTTTATTGCCCTCTAATGTCTGCTCTGTTCTTTCACTTAAAAATATTTTAATTGGATATTAGTTTTATTTATATCAGTCACATTCTATGATGCCACAATAGATATGAAGCTCAGCAGAAGTTCAATTTGTGCTTCATTCATTCATTCTGCTTCTTCAGCTGATTATGAGTGTTCACTCTTCCCCTTAAACCAAACAAATATTGCCACGATCTCTATCAGCCAATCATGTTACTCTTATCAGAGTTTAAATGTGTTTTCTCCCACTGCTGTCAGCTGTCGTTTTAGGCGGAATCATCACACCCTCCACCACCACCAGTGTCTAGACTTCAGGGGGGGGTGGGGGTCCCTATTTGATTAAAACTTCACCGCCTCCATTAAAATATATATCATCATGATGGGGTCTAATTGCCAAAGATTATTCACTTTTCTCACACTTACTCAGAATGAGTCTCTGCTGATTGAACTATAGCTAGTACAACTGGAACTGCAGTCATCAGACATCAGGTGTTTCAAACTGTTGTTTTTTATTTCCACACAATAGGACACTTTCAATGCTGTGTATCATCTTCCCAAAATAACACTGGAATAAGCAAGGATGTTCCGTATGGTAAACTTCCTTTATTCTGGGGCCTCCTCCTTATATCCCCCTCTCACAGGAGCCAACCTCAGAAAAGTCATTGTTGTATCTGTTGTTTGTGTGTTTCAGTTTTCAAGTAATTGTGTGTCCACTGTTCGTCTAATCCCTTTTACACTTTCTGTGCAAAGTGGAGTATCGCACTGTTATGCCGCTTTCCTATTATTGTTATTGTTATTGTTATTCCTCATTCCTAAGGAGAAGGAGTCTGTGGACCTTAGCCAGTTCCGGATGATTTCTCTCTTGAATGTGGAGGGGAAGATTTTCTTTAGTGTAGTAGCGCAGAGACTAGCTAGCTACTTAGAAAGGAATAGCTTAATAGATACCATGGTGCAGAAGGCAGGAATACCAGGTTTTTCAGGGTGTTTAGAGCATACTAGCATGATCTGGCACCAGATTCAGGCAGCGAAGATTAACAAAAGGGACCTACATGTAATATTTTTAGATCTTGCAAATGCGTTTGGTTCAGTACCGCACAGCCTCATTTGGAGTGCGTTTGACTACTTCAGAGTGCCACAGGTAGTTGTTAACTTAGTGAAAGCATATTTTCAGGATATTAGGTTGTGTCTAAGTACAGCAGGTTTCACAACAGGTTGGCAGAGGCTAGAAATAGGCATCATGGCAGGGTGTACAATTTCTCCATTAGCATTTACTATGGCAATGGAAGTAATCATCAGGGCTTCTAAGTGGGTGGTAGGTGGGGAGAGACGGCAGAATGGGTTGCATCTTCCACCAGTTAGGGCTTACATGGATGACATGACACTGGTGACCACAACAATGCCATGTACAAAGAGGCTACTAGAGAAGGTAAATAAGAACCTCAAGTGGGCCAGCATGAAAATCAAGCCTAGTAAATCTAGAAGCATCTCGATATGTAGAGGGAAGTTAAGTGATAGGAAGTTTGTCATAGATGATGAGGACATCCCAACAATTAGGGAAAAGTCAGTAAAGAGCTTAGGTAGGTGGTACAATGTAGAGTTGAATGATAAGGAACAGGTGGTGAAATTTAGAAAAGATGTGGCTGAAGGATTGGATAGAATAGATAAATCAGAACTTCCAGGAAAGTTGAAGTTGTGGTGTTTGCAATTTGGGCTATATCCTAGGTTAATGTGGCCATTGTCAGTTTATGAAATTCCAATATCTGTTGTGGAGAGAATGGAAAGGTCGGTTAGCTCCTACATTAGGAAGTGGTTGGGCGCTCCTAGGTGCCTAAGTAGTGTTGCATTGTATGGAAAAGGGATACTTCAGCTGCCAGTATCTAGTTTAACAGAGGAATTTAAATGTACCAAGGTCAGGACAGAGCTCTTGTTATCTGGGAGTAAGGACGTGGTAGTTAGGAGTGTGGTTCCAAATCCAACCAAGGGGAGGAAGTGGAACCCAAGATCGGCAGTTCAGGAGGCAGAGGCAGCTCTTAGACATGCAGAGATTGTAGGTAATGTTCAGTTTGGCCGGGGAGGCCTGGGGCTTGGCTCAGGTAAACCGGTATGGAATACAGCAGGCCTCAAAGATAAAAGAAAGCTGGTTGTAGAACAGATACGCAGACAGGAAGAGATAGTAAGGGGTGCAAAGGTAGTGGCCCAGGCTAAACAGGGACAGTGGTTGAATTGGGAAAGTGTAGAGAAGAGGAAGCTTAGTTGGAGGGACCTGTGGAGTATGGAGGAGAATCGTATTAGATTCCTGGTAGGGGCTACATACGATGTGTTACCAACCCCCCAGAACCTAAAACTGTGGGTAAATGAGGACCCATCATGCCCATTGTGTTCACGTACCGCAACTTTAAAGCATATTTTGTCAGGCTGTAAAGTTAGCTTGTCACAAGGCCGATATACATGGCGACATAATCAGGTGTTGAAATGTTTAGCTGCAGGCATCGAAGGGAAACGAAGACAGGTGAATTCAGAAGGTGTTAAGGATAGGGGCTTAGTAATTCAGTTTGTCCGTGAGGGAGAGAAATACAGAAGGGATAAGTTAGTGAGGAGGCAAGGGTGTGGCCGCCTAGAAGGTGCTTGTGATTGGGAAATGCAAGTAGATTTAGGGGGAAAGCTTGTTGTTCCTCAGGAAATAGTCTGTACCAGGCAGAGGCCTGACTTAGTGTTGTGGTCAGTGAGTCAACAGATAGTTTATTTCATTGAGCTGACAGTTCCTTGGGAAGACTCAGTGGAAGAAGCCTATGAAAGAAAAAAGCTTAGATATGCAGACTTAGGAGCAGAAGCTGAGCAGCGAGGATGGAAGACTAGGATTTGTCCAGTGGAAGTGGGGTGTAGGGGATTCATAGCAAGATCAACTGTCTCACTCCTGGGGGAACTCGGAGTGCGGGGACAGAATTTGAGGAAGACAGTGAGGGAAATGTCAGATGAAGCAATTAAATGCAGCCAGTTTATCTATTACAGAAGAAATAATGTCAGCTGGGGGCCAGCAGGGGGAACTACTAAGCAGGGCACATAACTCCTTGAGATCAGGTGGAGAGATCCACTTCCTGTCAGGAGAAATCCAGGAAGAGGAAGTATTTAAGTGTGGGAGTGGCCTATTGGAATCCATTTTGTTTGAGGCCATGCGGCAAGGTGAGTGTGCTTGCTGATCCTGTAAGTCCAGTTAGCTCCTTTAACTTTAGCTTATATTGTAGTTATGCTATGTAGTGTGTGAAATAGAGTATGGTGAATGTGACAGGAAAGCTAGTATCAGCATTGCTTCTGCCTGGAGCTCGCATGTATGGAGCCTGGGTTTGGTTGAAGATGGCAGTGCTGTTTGGGCTGAGAAAGCCATGTGTAAGTAAGAAGGAAATCCAGGAAGAGGAAGGTTATTTAAGTGTGGGAGTGGCCTATTTGAATCCATTTTGTTTGAGACCATGCTGCAAAGTGAGTGTGTTTGCTGATCCTGTGAGTTCATTTATCTCCTTTAACTTTAGCTTACATTGTAGTTATGCTATGTAGCGTGTGAAATAGAGTATGGTGAATGTGCTAGTAAAGGTAGTATCAGCATTGCTTCTGCCTGGAGCTCGCATAAACGGAGCCTGGGCTTGGTTGAAGTTGGCAGTGCTGTTTGGGCTGAGATCACTGTCCAGCCTCCTGGAGGTGTCATTGTTGTGAGGGCTCGTCCTGGGGAGGTAGACTGTACAGCCTAACCCGGCGGGGGAGTGTGATAGCCTAACAAGGCTTCCTTCCCTGGGTCTACCTCCTCTGTGGTAGTATAGGTAAGGTAAAGGAGGTTGTTCGGTTAGTGTGGGGAGCAGTGAGACCTGGCATTAGGGGAGTGTCTCTGGGACGCCAGAGATCACTGTCTAGCCTCCTGGAGGTGTCGTGGGACTAACTAGACGAAACACCGGTGAAAGGAGGTTCCCACCCGATGACCCCAAAGACATGTTAGTTATCACTGCTCACGGGTCTGTATAGTTAAGCCTTGCCATAATAGCTTATCGTAGGGCTTAGGAGGTTATTCACTAAGTGCTGATCCTTTTTTTTTGTTTTTTTAGAGCACAAACTTCTTGTGTTTATTTGAATGTGTATAAAGTATGATTGAATGGGGGGACAGAGTTGTCTTGCCTCTGTGCAAAGAATGGCAACCCGGTCTCACTCCGAAGTCGTTGAATACAAGCACTTAGTCAGTGACTTCTGGCATCAGATACCGACAAAAAACCCATCCTTTCACGTGGCATGATACAGAGCCAGTCACCGTTGTTGTATAATGGCGCCTGGTGGCTTCAGGGGGAAACGTGGCCAGACAACAACTTAAGTTAAGGTGGTAAAGTCTAAATAGGGCGGGTGGGAGGAGTGATGGATGGGTCCAACAACCACCGACTTTCAGCTAGGAGGTTTGTGTTCACTTCCTGTAACTTTGTAAAGCCAAACCCTGTTCTTTTTTTCTAAACCCAACCACATGCTTTTGTTGCCCATGCGTTTGTTGTTCAGGGAGAAAAAAAAGACAGTCTATGGTGTTGTACTGACATAGTACATTTATTTTTAAACTGACTGTTTGCAAACTGTACATTTCCTGTGAAAACAGAGGTGTATTTTGAAAACAGACAATGCATGTAATGGGCTGAAGTTGACACGGCGTCCCAGAACGTCAACAACCAACACAGCCAGGGTACCTTGCATGTCATATGTCGACGTGGAGTGGAAAGTCCATGACCAAACATCGATATGTGATGATGTTGGACTGAAAATGTGTGGGGAATGGAGGTAGTAATAGCGCAGAAACAGTGTCTGTATAAACAGGACAGCCAACAGGATGAGATCATGGGCAGTACAGGTGTGACGTTTTGATGACATGTAATGTTTGTGATTCAAAGAGGAAGAACAGCAGCTGAAAATGTCTGCAACTGGGAAAACAATAAGGTCCAGGAGCTCCTTATCCTTCAAGCAGAGGACGAGATCAGTTGCCATGTAACATAGAATAAATGACTGATTGTCACAATATGTTACATGTCGCCTCCATTAGCCCATCATGCCTCTTTTGATTCTGTGATACTGGCATGCTGTCTAAAATTACACACTAGTGTTGCAGCGATACTATATACCGGTTTCAAGGTGTACCATAAAATAAAAGGGCTTTTTTTTAGATATTTATTTGGGCATTTCTGCCATTAACTGATAAGACAGCTAAGCGTGAAGGGGGGAGAGAGAGAGAGGGAATGACACGCAGCAAAGGGCCACAGGCTGGAGTTGAACCTGGGCCGCTGCGGCAACAGCCTTGTACATGGGGCACCTGCTCTATCCACTAAGCCACCGACACCCCCATAAAATAAAAGTTGATAGTTATCATACTGTGTACATTTGCTTGTCTGCAATATTAGAAATAAAAAGCAACTGAATGGAGGCTCACCCCTGTCTTTTGGTTATTTTCTAAGGGTAGACTTTTTACACAAACTTCCATTAACAAAATGGTTTTGAGTTCCAATTATGGTAATAAAAGGTTTGTTCAACCAAAAATAACCCTTCCAATTTTATTCCTTTAAGGGTCATTCTGAGTGATGATAATATATATTCTGTAATACGGTGATACTATGAAACCATGATATTTTCTGAGACAGTTATCAGACCGTGAAAATCTCATGCCATTGCAACCTATTACACATGGGAGCGGAATGATGCTGCAGCTGTTTGGTTCTGCATAAAAATACAAAGGCTTCATAAAGACGGGACTTCATAGCAGCACTATAGCACAATCTTTGTGTAAAAAGGGCTTAAGATATCTATAGACAGGAAAATGAAGGCCCTGCATTTCATGTTAGTTTTATTTTGTATAAAAATAGTATATATGATATGATATTTTCTCTTTATCTAATGGTGTCCATTATCCCACCATTACATGGTTCTTATTAAAAACTACTGTTATATTTTTTTTTAAACTCTAATGTTACTGCAATGTCTTAATGTCATTCCTAACTCAATCCAAATATAAAACAAAACATGTAAAAGTCATATTGGGTGTGTACAGGGCCCAACAGCATCCACTGTTCTAAAGGGCATATACAATAAATCTTGTAATCATGATTTAATTCTAAGATAAGGTGGTCATAACAGAAATATTATGTACATGCCTAGTTACTTTATCTTCTTGCATTTTTGCTTTCTGGCTTGTGGAATGTTTCCTACAGACATTTATGCTGTGACCATGAGAAAACAATGCTTGGTATCTTTCATTCATTCATTATCTGTAACTGCTTATCCTATTCCAGGTGACAATTTGGGCGAAAGGCAGGGTACACCCTGGATAGGTCACCAGACTATCACAGGGCTTGGTATCATTAAAATCAAATGATTATCTAATTAAATCAGATAAGAAGGAAACAGGGCCTTAAACTGGACTGAATATTTTAAAGTTGCTTTCTTTTCTCTCAATTTGGAGGAAACAAAATAAAAACTGAGTATATAAAACAGACTTCTGTGGGGATTTCTAAGCTCATATATAACATGTATTCATGTATACATATTGTAAGGCTGTGTACAGTTCTTAATATTTTTCTATTTATACATCATGCTATTTTACTACTATCTAACATGCTATTTTAATTTAATTTACATGCCTGTGTGTTCTGTGTTCTGTATTGTGTTTTTATTGTGTTTTACTGTATACTCAGGAAAAAAATCCTAATCTTGTTGTTTTGCACTGCATTACAATGACAATAAAATCTATTCTATTCTATTCTATTCTGTTCTATTCTGTTCTATTCTATTCTATTCTATTCTATTCAGTTGTTTTATATCAGCCATACAGTGCAGTGAATTCTTAATTTTACAGTGTTAAAATATTTTTTTACATGCTGGCTCATTTATACTGCTGACTATTTTTACTGTTTTCTTTTACTGTTTTACACTAAGCTTTACATCAAGTGTGAAAGCAAGCAACTTCTTTGAGGATATTAAAGTATTTGATACAATTATTAATTAAAAAATGCAAACTGTATTTCATTGTTCTGGTTTAGGATAAGTCATATGGTTATATGATTGTATTTCATGGTGTTCTCTCATAAATTACTCCTGCTAATCAACAGCTGAATATCTCCTGTGGTTAGAGCAATGTATAGCGGTAGAGCAGTTTTACATGTTGACTGACTGACCGTGACATCCTCGAGGTCTTGGCCCAGCTCAGTGGAACTGGCCACTGTCTCACGCTCAGTGATCCATTTCTCTAACTCCTCCACCTCCTTGTTGAGCTGATAGAGCCAGTACTGCTGCTCCAGCTTGGTCTTCCTGTGCTCCACCATGTCCTTCAGAGACACATACAGCCGGTCTATGTGGGACTGCTGCTTGGTGATCTGCTCACTGTTGAATATTGGGAGAAAACTACATTTTACAGCTACCAACAAGATAAGCATCGAAAACGTTACCTATACATTATCTTACACAAAATTTCGGCAGAAATGCAAAAATCTTCGAAAAATGTACTGTTTTCTGGCTAAACTGTATATGCTGCTAGTGCACAAGTGACATTGGGTCAGGCCACACCTTTCTGGGTGTCCAAGTTCCAGTAGACGCTGGCATTGCTGGGATAGCATGCCTACTGTCTCTGCATATGTTTCCACTGTTTGCTCCAGAGCCAGGTGGGCCTTCAGCAGCTGCAGGGTGCTCACCTCGTCCTGAAAAATATCAGAATGATGTTAGGATTCACTTTCACATTTATCCCAACAAATACCTGCATGACCAACAGGGCTGTACGTACTGTGCCTTTTTCTTCATTGACCAGATGGAGTTTCTGACCTGACAGCCAGGACTCCACTTTAGCTGCCTCACTATAGTACTGCTGAGCCTGCAGCGTGGCATCCAGCATCACACACCTCCTCTCTGTCTCCAGCTGCAAAACTTCCCACAGCTGGCGCACATGCCCTGCCCCTTCACGTACAAACTCCACCTCAGGAGTCCTCAGCGAAGCAATGATCCCTGCCCGGTCCAGAACTTCCTCAACACGAGCCTGTCGCCCTGTCAGCTCCCTCTGGAGTGTCTGAAGGACCAATCAGAGTTAAGTTCCCAGAATGAGCCGGGTCAGATCACATTTCAGCTGAGCATGGTCAAACATCATCTTTGACACGTACCTGGTTCTTTTTTACGTGCTGCTGTACACTCTGGAGGTTATTCCCATAATCCTTACAGGAGGCCAAGGGAAGCCTCTCCTGAATCCACAGCTATCAAGTAACCACAGTATGGTCATTACATTTTTCAGAATGTTTATGTAAAGCTCTGTATGAAGTATAATTCCATGAAATTCCTGATTCTGATCATACACCTTAATATACAAACACTGACGGATGAAGAAAATGGAATTAAAAGCAGTGTACATGGAAGAGAAAAGATATGGAAGCAAACAATGGGAACTCAGAGACGAAGTGTGTACTCACTATCTCATCCTCCAGGTCCTGGGCGACTTGATGCATCTCTTTGGAAGCTAACAGGATGCGGCGTCTCTCCTTCAGGGGCTCAATGAGGCGGACAATGCGGGTCTCTACGCCACCTGACTGCTCGCCGCCTTCCCTGTCATCACCCATCAGCCCTTGCTGGGGTAGGCAGACCCCCTGCAAGCTTCCCAGGTCTCCCACATCCTTGTAAAAGTCCCCTATTTGAGACTCCATCGCCTGCACCGGAGGGGAAGAGAAGGTCATACATACAGTCATAGGAGGGATGGACAAACACAGCACATCAGCTGTTTCCCTTTCACAGTGTTTTAGGGTTATATAATGGACCGCCTCACTTTAAGTAAGAAAAGCATATGGTGCATTTTTTTAATGCCACTGAACCTCATGTTTAGGAGCAGACCACAATAGCGACCTCTGTGGGCACATATCAGAGCTGGGGAAAATTACATAAAAAACAGTGAGCTGAAGTATGCAGTCTGTCAAAAGCATTAGCTACACAGTGGCAGATCAGAGAGTTTTCATTTTACAAACATCTAACATTGGCAAAGCTGCAGAGGGAGAAATTCAGCATAGCATTAGTTCAGGGAGGACACGATGTCAAGCTCAGCTCACATCCTAGCTACATCAGCTGTTCTCAAGTAGCCCAATCAACTGATGGATCAGCTGATAGATCACACGATTCCTTTTGACGCAACCAATTGGCAAATCTCATCACTTTGCAACCTGCCTCCACCCCAGCTCCTCCTTTTCATGTTGTGTTTAACTTATCAATGTCATTTCTGTTTGTCATTGATGCTCACTCTGTTCTGTTGCCTGGAGGTCTTTGCTGCTGCTCTGCCTGCCTTAGGCTTTAAATGTAAACACATGGAAGGGCAGGGAGGTTTGCACTCTCTGTCTCAGGCTTTCCACATATGCGCATGGAAGGGCCGAGAGGTGTACTCTCTCTGCCTTAAGGCCCGAACATACTCGGGCGTACTATAAGCAGAATGGACTCCGCGAGGAATGTTCACAGTCATTTGGGCTTCCCTGCGATGTGAAAAATACATGCCGAGCAGTCACTGGTGCGCGGAGCGGAGTCCGCGCGGTCGTAAAATCTAAGCTTTGCGCGCACAGGCCTTGCGGACGTCCGCTTTAAGTCCGCGCGGACCTCTGTGGAGTCCATTCCGCGTATGTTCCACCCGAGTATGTTCGGGCCTTTAGGCTTCCTGCGTAGACCTTAGGAAAGGCAGAGGGGCCCTAGAACAGAGCCATACTGCCAAATATCACACTGCAAATTGAAATAAAGTTTCCTTTGACTGAAGAGGTCCTGACTGAAAAAAATCTTTTTGTTTGAGTGAAATAACACAGGCTGTAGACAAAGCCAAACTGGTAAAAAAAAAAACAACAACTGAAGCCCAGGGGTAGATTTTGAGACACCTATACTTTACTTCAGTATTTCCATGTTGTTATACTTTATATTTCTTCTACTCCACTAGAGTTATAGAGCCAATTTATAAGCAGGATGCAGTTCTATCTCACACAGGCTCTGCCCTCTACTGTACTATATGAGTAATACTCTCCTCCAATCATGAGCACGCATTCGCCCACTGAATTTTGCATAAACGTAGCTGGCCAATCAGGACGTGCCTACTCAATTACATGTGTGCCCACAGTATAGGTCCCTCAGATCCTCTATTGCTAGTATGCTGGTCATCCCAAGGATTTCAACAAAAATCCATGGGAAATCAGCCTCTGTGGCCCAAGGTCTACCTGAGTATCTGAGGAACTCCACCTCAGTGGATGTTCTTCAGAAACCTTAAGACATTAGCTTAGTTTTTATGTTTACCTACTTTACTTTATTTTACTTTTACTCTTTTTAGATTGGCTTTCACTTAATGGTGCCTCGTCATTTATTGCCTCTGTTTTTAAATCTTGTTTTTGGCATTTTCTACGTTTTCTTTCCCCTTGTGTTTATTTGTTCTTTTAAATGTTATTTATTCTAAATATTTTACCGTTTATCATTGTAATGTCTAGCTATTTACTTGGGACTCTTTCTGTGCTGTTTTATTCTTGCTCTGTGAAGCTCTTTGGGCTGCATAATTGTATGAAAGGCACTTTATAAATAAAGTTTGATTTGATTTGATATTATTTGATTTGATTTGATATATATGGAAGATGTACGACATTCAAGATCCTGTGTTCTTCAGTGATTGGTGAGTTGCCCACTGACCAGCTTTCTCCAGGGTGTCACTGCTTCTAGGAGGTTCGTATTGCATTAAAAAAGTTGGACTCCAAAAAATCAGCTGGTCCTGATAATTTGGATCCACTTTTTCCAAAGCTGGCTGCTGACTTAATTGCTAAGCCTCTAACTTGTATTTTTAATCTAAGCCTCAACACAAACAAACTACCTAAAGTCTGGAAATCTGCTTTTGTCCTCCCACTGCTAAAAGGAGGTGAACCATCAACTGTGAATAATTACAGGCCTATCTCAAAATTATGTATTTTGGCAAAGGTATTTGAAAAACTGAAGGAATTTTTGGAATCAAATAACATTCTAAACCCACTTCAGTCAGGTTTTAGGAAGCAGCATAGCACTGCTACTGCTGCCCTAAAAGTTTTTAATGATGTGTTTGGGGCATTGGACTCTAAAAAGTTTTGCGCTGCCCTGTTCATTGACTTGTCCAAGGCAATTGACACTGGACCTAGTGTTGTTTTTGGCGGCCTGTTTTAATTTTAGTTTTAGTCTAGTCTTTGTGTCAAACTGTCATTTTAGTTTTTATTAGTTTTATACTTTTTATATTATTTTCATACTCTTTTTTGTCTAGTCAAGTTTCAGTCAACTAAAAGTCTGAGCATTTTAGTCTTATTTTAGTCAGAATAATCCATGACTATTTTCGTCTCGTTTTAGTCGACGAAAACTGATGACATTTTAGTCTAGTTTTAGTCAATGAAAATTGTATTTTAGTCTCTTTTTAGTAATGCAATTCTATTATACCCAGTCAATATAGTATAAGTACCTAGTATAGTATAACCAAACCAAAATTTTCTTTTCTAAATTAGCTCCTAGTTAGAGCTAAATATATATTTATTTATACAACAGTTAGTTCCGACCAAGTAATTTGATTGGACGAGAGGCATTCCGTGAGTGCTGATATAGAGTATAACATCACTGGGACTTGTAACAGTAAAATCACTCCCTGCCCGCGCACCCTGCCCTGCCGGCAACGGCTGAATCTCCTTGTCAGGGAAGCGTCCCTAGCAACACTGGGCTACATAGAAACAGTCATTACACAGTATTATCAGACCTCTGAATGCCGCAAATGACCAATCAGAATACAGCATTTAATAGAGCCGTGTAATAAATATAAATACAACCGTTAATTAACCAGCTGTCACACTCGCTACATTGACGCAAACGGACACTATAGCGTTACACCAAGAAGATGGATATTTTCCCCAAAATTACATTTGAATTAAATTATGAGTGGTCGTCAGGAGAGGACGAGGAAAAGGAAAGCCAGGACTCTTCTGTGCAGACCTCCAGGTGTGTTTGTGTAACATCAGCTGACCTCGACAAACTGGAGAGGAGCAAAAATGAAGCGAACACGATCAGGAATTATCAATGATCATCTGATGAGGTACTGATGAGGATGAGGGAGAGTGAAAGCTGAATCTGGCTGGTCAACATCCAGGTTTGCCAACGTTTCATCAGCCGAACTGGACAAAGTTACACAGTTGCAGATCAATGTAAATACAAAGTAGCTTGTGAGTTCCTGGCGTGTGTGCTGCGTTGCCTGGCAACAGACTGGGGGATTGCGGAGCTACATAACATACTTTTATTTCATTACTTTTTGTTAACATTTCCTTACTCAGCATTGCTGTTTAAGCTGTTGTTGAACTGTTGTATAAAAGCAATATCACATGAGAGCGAGTGATGTTGTACTGTATATCGTCACGGCTGTAACCCGTCTGTGCAGTGTGACGCACAGCCTAGGAAACAGAAATACTGCAAAATAATAATAATAACGCGACTAAATATTATAACGTTATTTCGTCTCGTTTTGGTCAACGAAAATGAAGAGACATTTTAGCAGAGGTTTTATTTTGTAAACCACATTTAGTCTCATTTTTATTCATTAACAATATTGCATTATATATTTAATTATAGTTATCGTCACATGACCAACATTTACGTGGCGTCTCGTCTCGTTTTCGTCACGTGATAAAGGTTCGTTGACGACGATATTTAGTCATACTTTTCATTGACGAAAGCAACACTAACTGGACCACAGTCTTTTGTTGAAAATTCTCCTCAAGATTGGCATCTCCAAACAAGCAGCCACTTGGTTTACAGAGTATTTGGCAAGTAGAACTGTCACAGTCTCTGTCTCCCATTCCCCTCCTGTCACTCTGCTGGAGTGATTTTCCACTCTCCCTCCCTCTGCTTCACTCTCCTGACCAGCCACACCTGCTCTCACTCTCCTGATCACCCACACCTGCAGCTCATCCCCAGCAATCAAGCCAGCATAAAAGCCTCAGTCCCACACTCACCAGTTGCCAGACTGTTCTTCAGCATTATGCCAGATTTTCCAGCGTTCTTCTCCTGCCTGATCATCTGTTGCCAACTCTGACTGTCCCTGACCTGCTCTCCTCACCTGCCTTCCGTCTCTGACCACGTGTTCTGCCTCCGCGGACTGGTCTCCTGGCTTCGACCCCCTCGCCTGTCTCCGACTGCTCCTCTGCTCTCTCCTCATCGGCACCTCTGCATGATTGGCTGGTTCTTCAGGCTACGGACTCCCACTCTGTCATCAGCGGCTGAAGTAAGCTCTTTTCCTTCACGTCACGCTGTGAGAGAACTGAACTGTTCGGGTCCGGGGGCTTTGGTGCTTCCCCTCGGTTCCCGTTCTCTGTTGTACTGTTTTTGTTTCCAAACCATACCCGTTACAGTACAATCTGGCCAAGTATGGACCCAGCAGACCCCTCCTCAGTCTCACCTAGCTCGGGTAGAGGGAATGCTCCAGCAGCATGAGGCACAGTTAGCCTCCATCGCGGCGGAGGCTCGTCAGTCAGCTTCGGCTCTGGAGCAAGCGCTAACCTCGCTAACCACCCAGGTGCAACAGATGGCTTCTTCCATGACGCAACAAGCCACCTCCACCTCAGCTACAGCCCCTCCTGCTCTGGCTCCGGGGTTACCTTTGGGCACCGCATCAGAGCCCTGGGTGGGGTCGCCAGAGCGCTAC